TACGCTCACCGAATTCTCTAAGCCCGCCCTTCTTAAGCAGCGTTTTATAGCTGTGTTTATATCATTTGAGATGAAGGGTAGGATAAACGGGACCCTTCTATCGCTAGAGTTGTCGTTTGGAGGCCTACGATTTCCTATACACCTATCCTGAGCTACAGTTTCGTAGCCATTAGAAACGGCTATTTGCCGTGCCAAGTTCCGGGACGAATCCTCGCACGCGAATCGAGAACACAGGCGCGAAAAACCCTCGAGGCACTCTGGATTAATTCCAGAAATCCGAAAATGAACCGCAGGGAAGAATGCCTCATTATCACACGTGATATAGGGCAGTATATAAAACTGCTTTTCTGATGTGGGGGGCACATTATACTTCCACGTGATTTCTGTGCGGTTGGTCTCTACGTGACATACTTAGTGGAGACCTCATAGAAAGCGATGAGTGTGCAAAGCTGTGTTCAAAGTGATTGAAATCTTGGTTTGGGGTTTCTTTGTTTGGTTATGGAAGCGTTTGGCCGAGTGAGTTGCTATCAACTTGACCTTCCAGGCTCTGAAGAAGGCGAAATTCGCCGAAACGTCAGCTTAATCGTGAACAAAGAACAATAACACCTCGCGTTTGCTCAAAAAATACGAACAAAATGGACCTTTATATTTATGTAGTTGTTTTCCTAAACAAGGTTTAAAAACGCTTTCTACATGATAATGGAAGAATCGATGAAAACCTTAGTCCGAAGGCGACTGCTAAGATCACGACAAATACTGGTACGATTACGGCGACGAGCGTGATCGCCAAGTACTTCTCAGTGAACGACGGTGGACAGGCGCTCCTTAAGAAGAACATTGGTTGAATCGTAGAAAACACAAAAAGAGTAGATCTTTTCTGTTCCACAATATTTTGTTACTTATTTTAACACTTTATTACTTTGACTCATCAACCTACAAACACGGATATCCAGTTGTCAGGTTGAATGTTCAATGAGCAACGATATCTACCACAATGTTAAGATTTTCAGCGATTAACTTTCTACAACAAATGGATAAAAAAAAAGCAAACTTGTACTTAATTGTGGTGATCGCATAAATTTATCCCTTAGCAGTTAGCAGAGTAAAGGTTCAAGAAATTATTTTGTTCGAATATTCGTTCGTTCTTCGCTACATTCGTCTTCGATTGTTTCTTTGTGTAACCAGATATCGAACGTTAGTTTTCGGAAGAGCTATTGTAGACGCGTTTTTGTTTTCTTAAAGAGTAAAGCAAATTCAAAACGGAATATAGCTCACAAACCCATCATAATCGCATAATGGTCGATTTAGTGGCGGAGAGCCACCATGGTTTGCCCAAATCACCGACGCAGGTTGTAGGTCTTGAATCTGATCATGGCAAAGGACAAACTTTTGAGCAGAATTTCGCCTATAAAGCAATTACTCATTGGTTATAGTAACTGTGACTTACCAGTGAGGTGCTTGTATTCATCAGTTGTTCTGTGATTTTCATCATAATAATTTGCATATCATTAGAGTCCAGTCCATACACCAAAAATAAGGGATCTCGAGTTCGTTTTTCGTTAATATTGACGGTGCCAGAGAAACCTAAAATTTATCGAAGTTAATTTGTTTGTGTCATAAACGTGTGCACTGTCTCAAGCCGATCATGGTAAAGTGATATTTGTTTATCTTTTAATCAGCTTCCACTATTGTAATAAAATTAGCAAATAAGGGTAAAGAATAAAGCTCTCGGCGTTGATCAATCCCTGAGGGATGCACCATGCATTCAACTTCATTAAGCATGGTTGGAAGGTGATTGAATGCATATCTGACTTTTACAAGGACTCGTTGTGGCATCCTTGTGAATCTAGCCAGTGCTGCTATCTTCCCAGACAACTCTGGTACCAATTTGCCTACCCCGGACGTATGGAAAGCTTGGTGGGCCATAGGCAAGAGGTTCGATTCCATGTGTGTGTCGTAGGGCGCCCTCGACCACTGCGCAACAGGCGCCGTTAATGGTGTAATTTATTTTGTATGTTCTTGATCTACTAAATGCTAGAAAAGTGAAGTGAAAAAACCAACGAGGTTTCCATGTTAGGTTATTAGTCGAGTGGTGAAACGAGGTGTTCGACAAGATCTCGAGGTCATATGAGCTTATGAGCTTTTGTAGAACGCAGGGGTTTGAAGAGGCTCCTATGATGTTCTGCAAGCAGGAACTCTGGCAGCCATCGATTCCTTTCTTATTTGGCCGAAACGTAGTAACTTCAGAAAAAAATAACATTTTTCATAACACTAAACATATTCACATTCCGTTTGGGTTACGATCAGGTTTCTGATGTGTTTTCAGTTCGTTGTATTATAGTAAGCTCTTCTAAGCTTTTAAGGGAAACATTAATTGAAGATAGCACAATGGTAGTGATGGTGGTCATCACAAACACGGTGTGATTTAGATCCCACTATGGGCTCACCAAGCTTCTAAATCTTTTTAGAGAGATGGCAATCATGGTATTGCATAAATTTCCATCAACGAAGCAATCGAGTAATAGAAGACGATTTCATCGTTAGAGCTCTACATGGGATCAAATCTTCGTCTTTCCGCAAAGAATTTTCTGCAAGAAGAATGAAGTGGACAGTACAAAAAGGAGGCCTTAAATCGAAAGATTAATACAAACTATTGTTTTACTCCTTTGGTTTGTTTTAGAGAATACTATTCTCAACACGCCAAGAAACACAACCAGTTCACCCTTCCCGGAGTTCTACTGAAGTACGGAGTTTAAACCCATTAGATGTCCGGAATATCAGAGAAAAGAAAACTGCTTTCATAAACATCCCATCGCCTAAAACAATAAACATAAAAACTCACCGTATCTCTCAAGCTATTGGTATCACCCAGGGAGTTCTACTTCAAAGCTGGTAAGAATGTGGACTCTACTGATTTCTGATTGAATTACTCAATTTTTAATGGCGTCAAAAGCGATACAGATGTTTTCTTTTCTATGAAATGCTGAGATATTTGCAAAACTCCTGACCACCGAGTTATATTTCGCAACATACCCTGCCATTAAGAAAAAAAGGCAGTGAATAAAAGGGTTAAAATTTCCTTTTCTATTTGTTGCCCACCACAATTTTCACGGTAGGGTAATTCGAAATCAACTACAGCGATGCCGAGATATTCGCAAAACTTCGGGCCAAATCGAGCCACGATTTCCCTTTCCGGAGGCTCACGCATTGCACACTGCGTCACGGAAGCCCTTGTTCTACGCTTCTCTCAGCTAGTTTTCTATCTACCAGTGCCATAAGTAGGCCACATTGGCATTGAACCCAGTTAAGCTGAGGCTGCAGTTGAAATCAGGGTTCCCCAAACCAATAACGTTGACGGGTGATTGCTGATGGCACTGACAGATAGAAAACTAGCTGAGAGAAATGCAGAGCAAGGGCCTCGTGGCGCAGTGCGTAAGCCCCCGGAAGGGGAAATTGTGGTTCGATCTGGCACGTGGTCCAGCTTTTGTGAATATCTAAGCATCGTTGTGATGGATACAGATGATATCAAAGCTATATAGTTGCTTTAATAGCACAATTTGATTGTATTTTTTGTTGCTTCTATTGCAAATCGAGCTGTATATGTTAGCGAACATTTGCGCTAGGGAACTTTGTTAAATATTCGAATATCTCAGCGTTTACAATCCATTTTCAGCACCTCGTTTACTCACACTTAAAACGATCGCGATTTTGTAACCTGTACCATCGCATACAGTGAGATTTCTGTGTTCACCTTGGAAGCTGCCTTTCGCAAAATTCACCAGCTCACTTCCAGTTGGATTCGGCAATCCGGCAGCTATTGAACGATTCAACGCAATCGCATAGAGCAACATCGAATCCCCCAACTCACCAACTTGAGAGGTGCTCTGGTAAAAAAAAAAGCTGAAAAATACACCACTCTTTCAAATATTTTAAAACCTTTTTAAAGAATATTAACGTGTCTTGTCCACGCAGGATTATACATTGGCTTGAGTACTTTCAATTCCCACAAGTTCTTTGCTTATTTCTTATTACTTAAATGGTGGAAAACAGTCAGGTTTCTCCGGAACAGCAATTTTTCTTACTAAATTTGCTATGATTCACTTGGCTTCCAAAACCCTCAGAGGCTTGCTACCTCATCGAGAGTTACCAGTATTTCCGAGTGTTAAACTATGATGTAGATCACAGGTTTTCTCCGTTAATAGCATCACCCAGGCTGATAAAGATTTCGACAATTCCATCGTTGGGAGACCAGCTATCCATGATAGTGTACAGCGAGTAGGCCGAAGATACAATCTAGCCAGCCACAGTGGAAGGAAATGGCTTCATATTAAAAATGTGGACCTTGCATGTCCCTTCAGCTAGTTCAACTAGTGAAGCTAATTTGGCTGCTATGCCTTACCAAAGGGATAAATAGGAGTTTCCTGGTACCGACTCGGATTGCTGTATGAGAAATTTCTGGTAACATTTACCTGTATCACCTGTAGTCCCGTTGGTCGTCGAGTGACTCGAGCGGGAGCCAGTAAATCTTCCATTTTTCCTTGACCCATTCGAGAGTATCCCAGTGGGCTCTGCTTGCTCCAGGGACTCGTTGAGCATCATAATTTTCTTCTAGGCTCTTCGTGAAGAACTCTGACCATCGGGTCGGTGGCCTTCCTGCAGTAGATTTGACATCCTGAGGAATCCAGTCACTAAAGGTTCTTGCCCATCGGTTGTCATTCATACGCATTACGTGTCCGGCCCACCTTATCTTCGACTGTTTGGCGTACAGAACGACATCTTTGATTTTTGATCGTTGACGCAGATCGGAGCTTCGGATCCCATCTCTAACTTGTGTAGAACGGGATGCTCCTAGCATCGCCCTTTCCACTGCGCGTTCAATAACGCTGAGTGACTTTTCGCCCTGCTCACGCAGCGACCAGGTTTCTGACGCATACGTAAGGGCAGGAAGTACCGTTGAGTCGAAAAGGTGGGCACGGAGTCGGGTGTTCTTCGTTCTCTTCACTACATCCTCGATGCTCTTGAAAGCTCTCCAAGCCGCTCGTTTTCTTCTGCTCAGTTCTGGAGCTAGATCGTTCATCATATTGATTTCCCGACCTAGATAGATATAATGGAGCATTAGTAGATATTCGTTCCGTTGAGCGTGAATAGGGCATGCGAAACCAATCCGTTCTTCATGAACATCGTTTTTGTGAGATTTAGTCGAAGACCAATCTTTCCATAGGCCTTATAAAAGTCGTCAAGCATACGTTCCGCCTGGCTAATGTTTGGTGTTATAACGACAATGTCATCAGCAAAGCGAAGATAGTGTAACTGCCGACCGTCGATTTTCACTACTATATGCCCATTCTAATGTTCGCATGACGTTCTGGAGGGTGGCGGTAAATAATTTTGGCGAGATGGTATCGCCTTGCCTAGCTCCTCTTTTAAGTCAATGTCAATATCGTTGTAGAATGGTGAAATCTTGGTTGTGAAATTTTTGTGCTCACGAAGAATCCTTATGTACTGAGTAGGGACTCCTTGACTATCAACGGCTTCCAAGACTGCTTCCATCTCAACTGAATCAAAGGCCTTCTGTAAATCGATGAAAGTGAGACAGAGCGGTCTTTTGTACTCTCGCGATACTTCAATGAGCCGTGTTACCGTGTGAATGTGGTCCATCGTACTGAATCCTCTTCGAAACACTGCTTGCTCACATGGCTGATCTTCGTTTAGTGTTCTGTCAATCCTGTTTAGGAAGACACGATTGAAAAGTTTGCAGACGACAGATAGTAAGCAGATTGGGCGATAGTTGCCGATATCGTGTACGTCACCCTTCTCGAACAATAACACGGCCTTGCTGGTCTTCCGTTGAGTAGGGACCTTGCACTGAGACAAGTAACGTGTGAAGAGCCGAGCCACTGTGTTTAAGAGGACTGGCGGAAGGTTCGTCAGATGTTCTGGTCTTATCCTGACCGGACCTGGTGCTGTTCGATTTTTCACCGACGGAATGGCATGTCGGATTTCGGAAAGGAGAACCGGTGGTACAACATACCCATCCTCCTTTATTTCATATGACGGGAAGTGGACGTGGCTATCGAAGAGATCTGAGTAGTATTCGTGAAAGAATTTCTCCATTGCCTTTCTGGACACTGTAGCTGTTCCGTCTGGGCGCCGGAGTGCAATCATTTTGGTGTTGTAATTGGTGAAGCTTCGGTGGGCTTTGCAAATGCGTTTCTCAGCCTCTGCAGCTTCGACTATTACTGCTGCTCTTCTGTCTTTAAGATCTTTTATCGCCTGTCTGCATTGTTTTGCAAACTTGGACATTAGTTCGCGACTGCCTGCAGCTCGTGCGATTCCACGCTAGCATATCAGCTCGAGTGTTTTTGGAGACAGTGGTCTCTTGGTAACTTTCGAACTCTCAGCTTTCATAGCGCTAACGTGAAGATGTTGAAAGAGCAGATCATATTCTATGTCGATGTTATCGACAATGGCATATTCCCAACAGCCGACTAATGAATTGAATAAACCCCAATTTATGGTGGTTTTGGGACTTCTTCTTTTGAATTTAGTAGTGTTTTTCCTTCCTCGAAAAGTGAAATCTTGGACGAAGGAGGTGATGGTCTGATCCCGTGTAGAACTTTGCGACAACGGCCACATCGGTTAGCCAAAACCTTCTATTTACTATGATGTGGTCTATTTCGTTATGGTACTCTCCACTGGGAAGCTCCCACGTCCAGCGCTGAGGGTAGGGCTTCTGGAATTGCTAGTTACCATGGATGGTCATGGTCGTCATGATAAACTCGAGCAGCCGCTCACCCTGCTCGTTCTATTCTAGTCCGTGGGTCTCAATGTGACGCTCTTAAGACGTTCTTCTTGGTCTAATCTTGGTGTTGAAATCTCCAGTGATGACCTTGAAGAATGTGTGGTCTTCTCTGTAGAACTTCTCCAAGTCCATATAGAACTGTTCCACTACTTCTTCGTCATAGTTTGATGTCGGCGCGTAAACGACGAAGATTGTCAAAGCCGGAATTGATCCACGTCTTTTTAATCGTAAACGTCCGATTCGGGTTGTTGGTTGTTTGAATGAATCGATGTTCATGGACAAACTCGTGCTTATGAGAACGCCGATGCCGCCGACTCCTCTATCGTCGCATGTTCCGAGGGACAATTCTTCTCCGGTGTTATAGACGGCGTTAAAAGGCTGGCGTCTTCTCGTCTCGGCCAGGTCGATGACGTCGCACCTTATCCTTGCTTGCATGAGCAAGTCTTCTATCGAGGACTCGGATGCAAGTGTACGTGCATTGTAGGTACAGATCGTCACCATAGTTCTTTGAAATCCAGGCAGCTTCCGCTATCCCTGCGATTTTAGCAGCCTCTCCGAACTCGTAGTACCCACCGCTGCGAAATTGGGGGCTCCTTCGGGGTCAGGGGAATGAGGCCCGTTCCTTTTACTGTGTTTAGCATTTTTGATACCTACGTATAGCTTGCTGGGCTCTGAACGCAGAGGTTGGGTATACTCACAGGTAGCTTGCCAGACTCTCCCAGAGTGGACATGGAGCTTATTGGTTGGAGGCGACTCCTAACCGCCTCCCATATACTTCCCAGTCACTTGATTGCAGGCTTTTGGCCGAATTGATTCGTAGAATACAATCCGCATAAGCAAGAACGCACCCACACACGCACGCATGAATACGCCTAGCAAATACAGAAAGTATGTGCTAAATGAACACAGTAGAAACAGGGAGTCCATCTCCTGGACATACCTGCGTCTCAGTGAAGCAAAGGTCGCTTTTGGTCCGCAATTAAACTCCTATCCGCTACCTGGGAACGCGCCACGTAGCCTCGCGACTAACTGGCTCGAGATCCTTCATATGAGGCAGATCCGTGGGATAACATTTACAGTAATAAAGATTTCAGAAATTTTAAGTTAAGTTCAACTTGCATTTTACACCAATCCATTATTTGTGAAGGGGCAATAATTTCATTGTAAAACAGATATTCGGTTGGAAGTACTCGTTGCAAGGCAATTTTTCCACTACTAAGGATTTCTGACAGCAAGGAATCCAAGAGGAGAAAATGTTATGAAAGGCTTGAGTTTGCATAAATTTTCTAGAATTTTAAACCTGTAGCAGAAATATAATAAAATATAAGCCTAGACTACGACAAGTGCCATCAAAACTTGTGATTGCCTCCTCTGGAAATCTACCAGGTAGAGCTTCAACAAAGGTTAATGTTGGCAATCACGAACGAATTCGGCAAAAGTTTTACTTATTGGGACCTTAAGAAATGCTTGAAGAACTAAGAAAATTTCTCTACTACCTTAAACAATACTGATGCAATGAACTACGGTGTCTTGAGTGTTCAGTTTGAATTCAAATCGAATTGACAAGGTGAGACAGTTACTATGGGTGGATATAATTATGTAACTTTAAGCACTCATGAGACTTCAAGTACCGTCAATTCTTACTGTCACGCTATTACGGTAACAAAGTCAAACATACCAGATCAATGTCGTCACAATTTGTACAGTTGTACGGCGGCTCGCGCATCTTCGTTTTGACATTATCAACGAACTCCGCAGATGCATTCAGTGGGATCCTATCTATCTGTATTGATTAAAGTTGAGCCTATTAGATCAACTAGCAGTATATATTTCATATATGCATACAACAACATTTATTTCAGAATCAAAATCTTAGACAAAGTTACCACAAAAAAGCTTCTTGCCGCTCGCAGAGCTAGATCGTCTTTCCCGTCCGGTGGCATCTTCGTATCCTTCCATACTTGACCTGATGGTGGCTGATTTTATAAAAAGTAATTTTGTAAGAAGAATTAATACCCGAATTAGCCTTTGAAAACTCTTAAAAACTTTCTAAATGGTATGAGAAAAAGAATCAGGAACAGACTTAAACAGACGCACGCTGCCGTTTGACGAACCGACCTCTCAAGTCTTACGATGCCTTTTCACACCTGTACACTATTAGTTAGAGATTTCTCAAACCAAGGACGCGTATGGTGCAGTGGTAAAAGACGTATTTCAACACACATGGGATCGATCCCGCCCCCCGGCCCAACAAGCCCTCTATCCTACGGGAGTCGGCAAATTGGTACCAGACCTGTCTGGGAGCATGGATAACAGCACTGACTAGATACATCGGTAGCCACTAAGAACCATTGAATAGGCCAGGTATGCATTCAGTTATCTCTAACGATGTTTAATGAAGTCGAAGACCAACGCCGAATGAAATTTTCTTACTGGGAACTTTCTTTCTAAATCAGCTTGAAAATGTTTCTGAATAATGTTTAATTTTTTATCTAATGCTGTTGCTGAGATATTTCAGAAACTTTCATCCCAAGTCAGATTTGAACCCTTTTCTGTGTCTTTTCCGGAGTCTCATGTCTTACCCACTGCACTACTAAGTCCTTTGCTTTGCCTTGCCTTCAGCCAGTTTTTTACCATTTTTTAGTCCATGTGCATTATGATTTCGACTACAGCTTCAGTTTAGCTAGGTTCGATGCCGATGTCTCCCCCAGATCACTTCCGTTGACAAGTTATTGCTGATGCACAGTTAGGGCAAAAAACCGGTCGAGAGAAAGGCATAAGCGAGGACCTCGCTGATGCAGTGTGTAGCACCTAAGTCCTCGTAAAAGGGTAACCACAGGTTCCAATCTGGACTGGGTCCGAGTTTTGCAAATATCCAGCATCATTGTGATTTTCCTTGCATATTAGGAAGACAATTAATCACGATTTTATCAAGCATCGTAGAGGTGATTTGACATACTTGGCATAAATAATGGCTTACCGTAGCCCACTGATACTTCAAGCACGTTTCTTTTCCAGATAACTCAGGTTCCATTTCACCGACTCCGTAGTGCACAGAACGCTTGGTTAGCCCAGAGCGCGAGAACACTCCGGAGAGGGATCTAGTGCATCTTATGTGGCCTCACTAACCTCTCCGCTAAACACGACACAGTAGGCTCAAAACTTTAAGCTTCATTTTGTCATATGGTACTCGCATCACTCTATTATTCACCTGAGACGTTTACAGACGTCCAAGCGACGTCTAAAATCAACTCGAATAAGAAAATTTTAAGTTAATTCAAACGTAATGAAAATTATACTATCCAAATATGTGTCAGCTATGTATATCTGGGTCGAAAAATCAGCGTAATGAACTATTACGCACCAAAGTGAAGCAAGCGGAAGCAAGCGGCTTAAAAACCTTACAGCGGTGTCGAGGACATGGTGAAGAGCACAAAGAGTACCGGCTAGGTTCCATCTTCTTGTCTATACGGTTCGTCTGTGCGAATCGGGCCGGTATGCAGTGGGATGATAGGTCGGTTATCATTACTGTGTGTACTAGAAGAGCAATTGCAGGAATAACCTGTATCGTGAAAATTTAAAGAAATATCAAGCTTCGAGTCTGCTGTAGATGTTGCTGAATAAAAGTGGAAAATTAGGTTACTCGTCAACTATCGATAGACAAAGTCACTACGGACTTTAGTAACTCAAAAGAACGACTTTCTATGAATCTTGGCATAAATGATCGATATATTCATTTATATGTTCTTATGAAATGATCTTGTTGAGCTGATGCGAGGTTGGTATAAGTTGGCGTTGTTGCTGCTGCTGCCGCCGTTGTTGTTGTTTTCGTTGTCAATGTTGTTGGTCGATGGCTGACGTTTCGGCGATTTCGCCCTCCTCAGAGCCATGAAGCCCCGAACCGCAGGTGTCTGCGGTGGGGAACAAACACGTTATTATCCTTTCCGGGGGCTAATGCGTTCACCGCCACACCATGCTGGTTATTTGTTTCGCCTGTCTCTCAGTTATCAATCTCGCTGAAGGGTGATTACTGATGGGAGTGATCGATAGAACTAGCTGAGAGACAAGCGAAACGAAGGACCAGCATGGCGTGATGGTGAGCACGTTAGCCCAAGGAAAGGGTAATAGCGTGCTTGTTCACCACAGCAGACACCTGTGGTTCGAAATTTTGCAAATATCTCAGCATCATAGAAGTGTTATTATAATCAGCTGTTACTAGCAACTTCTACAGCTGATGAGAGCGAACTGGACGCGTTTTGCAAACAACTGGAGGAAGTAAACCACAACCAAAAGTGTTTCTACAAATTAACTATTGAAAACATTAGCGCCAGATTAGGAACAAAAATAAATACAGGATAGAGAAAGCAGAAACAGTAGAATGAAGTAAGAATGGAAACTATCTTATAGGACTCCTGTCCGCGGCGTGTCTCCTCCATAGGAATTTATTTTCCGAGAACAGAGAAAATCGCTGATGCACATGGGAGTCTCCTAACGACACGACTCGTGTGGAGACTGACCATATTCTCACCAACAGAAAATTGTGCTTATTTGATAGTTCAGTGGTGCCTGTTTTCTTTACTGAGTCTGATCAACGCCTTCTCCGTGCGAAGATTCGATTCAGCCATAAGCTAGAAGGGAGCTCCTGTCATGGTCCGAGAATGACGGTACACGTCGAGTACGAACAGCGTATAAGAACTCTCCTCACATGACTGCCAGATAAACGAAGACCCAAGCGAGGAGTACTTAAAACTTGTGCTGAAGTCACCAAAGAGAAGTTCAAACCACATCTTCTTTCCCACTAAAGAGTTGGTCGAAAAAAGGACACTGAAGCTTGATCCCATTGCAAACCAGGTAAGCCGTTTGATAATAGATGGAAGCTTTAGAAGACTTTTCCGTAAGGAACTACATCTGTATAGGCAGAAAAAACTATTGGAAGGAGCTCAAAATCGATCCAATATGAAAAAATGCTGTCGGGATTCCTTCCGACTTTAATGTTCCACTACATGCCGTGAACAACGAAGATGGCACTAACACTACACACCGCCATGACATGGAATCGATAAGGGAAAGCTTCTACACCACTCTTTTCCACTTCACAGTCTCTACCCCGGACTTTAAAATCCGCACTGGTGAAAAATAGCCCAAGATTACGCTCTCTGAACCACGAGCTGCGATAGAAAGCATGAAGAGAGGCACAGCTCCAGGACCCGATAATATAACCACCATTTCATTATAGCTGGAAGCCACAATCCACATGTTCTTCTCGTAAACCGTATGAAATCTCATCTTCAGGAGAAAGAAACCTCAGACTAGCGGTGGGACGGAGTGCGCAGTCATCCTGTCCCAGGAAGGTGACCGAAAACTACCGTCCACTATGCTTATTAGGCGTGCTCTCCAACCTGTTCACGAAGACTATCTTTTATGCACAAGTCGAAGACCTTGGACGATGCAAAACCAGTTAAGCAAGCAGGATTTGGACAGCTATTCGGCTTCATGGACAAGTCCAAACCGTATCACTGGTCATAGAACCTGGTGGGACTACCATTTGTCTATTGTTCTAACCCCTTTTCTAAAAAGAGAAAATGTTTGACAGCGTCGAAACAAATACAATCCTATCAGCGCTCATCGACCAAGGGGTGGACCCGGCCTATATACGAAGAACACCTGACTGTTATGCAGCGCAAATATGTACCTTCTCATCGTACCTCACCATACAAATAGGAAAGGGAGTTCGACACAGCGACACAATATTGAAGAAGATTCCCATGACCGCACTGCAGTGGATATTGAAATTATTCGATTAATAGACACAGTTGGAAAATCCCTATCCCATTTTCGTTCCGCTATCTATTGCTTGATAGCGGCTCTCAAGAAGATGTCCGTGCCATTTTTTTCTTTAATTCTTTAAATGTTTCAATAGACTTACTAGAGGAAAACATTAATGAACCGTACCGAATCCCTTTCTTCCAGTTTCAATCATTAGCCACATATACTCGCTGGTGTCCATACCTTCTTCAGCAATCGAAATCATAAGCTCACGTTGTCCTTCAGCAGTTTCAATGCACACAACTATAACTGAAAATTGGAACTTCTTGTCCTCCTTCTAAGAATTGGACAGAACCTCTTAGAAAAGTATCTGAAAGAAGCGATCACTGACTTCGCGTCATCTTTCTGATGGTCCGAAGCATATTTTTCAAAGTGTCTTTATTGAAATTCTTCAACTCGCGATGAAATATTATCGTAATGTTATGATTGTTGTCATCGAGCTTCTAGAAAAGACTGAAGTAGATGTTCTTTCACTTAAAGAATAGATAAGTGGTCGTTGCACTGACCATTTAAAGATAACCACAACGTTGCTGAGATATTTGCAAAACCCTGGACCGCAACTGTCTATGGTGGGGAACGAACGCGCTATCGTCCTTTCCGGGGAGTAACGCGTTCACCACCACACCATCCGGGTCCTTCGTTTTGCCTCTCTCTCAGCTAGTTCTGTCGATCTTTTTGCCACAGCAATTACCCATCAACGGGGTTGATCTGGGTAGCCCAAATCGGCATAGAGCCCAGATAAGCTGTGGCTGTAGTTGAAATCACAATGTTTAACGTTTTGTTTTCTGCCTTCTATAGTTTTCTATCTGAGAGACCTAGAAATAGCTGAGAGACAGGCGAAATGAAGGACCCGCATGGTGTGGTGGTGAACGCGTTACTCCCCGGAAAGGATAATAGCGCGTTCGTTCCCCACCATAGACACCTGTGGTCCAGAGTTTTGCAAATATCTCAGCAACGTTGTCGTTGTATTTCGCTTAATAACCTGCCATGAACCCTATAGAAGGCAGAAAACAAAACGTTAAACATTTAAAGATAACTTCATTCGGATCGAGAAGGACTGCACAAATGAGAATGATTAAGCCAAGCCATAAAAAAGTTTGCAGCACCTCTAGTACCTTTAGCCCCTAGGGAATAGAAAGTTTAGTCGATCGGATACAAATATGGTTGAGGGTTAGGAAAAATTTAACAGATTCTGCATATATATCCTAGGTATGAGTAACTTGACTTTGGGCAAAAGAAACGCTGCTGCAAATTCTTCGCTTTTTTCTGCTTCTATGAAAAAAATCATGATCGATATCTGATCCTTAATGGTTTCGAGATCTTGAAAACAACGGAGAAAACCTCCCAATTAAGATTCAAAATCGGGATTGGATCAACTTGAATAGTAACAACGAACTAGTAAAAAAACAAAATGTTCAGAGACTCAGAAGACAATATAAGAGATGTTGTCAGAGGTTCCGCATATTTATAGTCAATCCCTCTAATGTTTATTTAAAAAATAAAATCTTATGTAAGACAGAGGTAAACACACTTGAAGATCGTCGACGATCAGCGTACAACGTGGTGCTGCATCGCCTCGAATCGCATAAGAAATCACAGCCACATCGCTCCATCCGTATCGTTGGAATAGTCGGGTTAGCGTTCGAGCTTGACTGAAAATCGCTACACGACAAGAATATTCCACTGGACAAAGCATAACTACCTTAGAGACTTCTCATTCTTTTCACTAACTTACTCTTGAGGAAGAATCGAAAGAGATTTCAGCTATATCACCGACAAATTCCAGGATCAACTTTCTTTAAACCTCGGCATTGATCAATAACATACTGCTTTCTTGATAAGCAAAGACGATGTTCTTGACAGGAAGATTTATTCAGTCCAATACTGGCTGATGTTTCAGCGGTGTTGCCTTCTTTAAAGCGTTGAAGAGTCAAATTAACACACAATCCACTTTGTCAAACACTTTCATAACTAGAGCAGACAAAACTTAGCGCATAAATTGTGTTATTCCTTTGTGAACAGCTTCTGTTAAGAACTCACCGTTTGTTGTTTTCAAGTCACCCCGTAGGGCGTGTGTAGCACAGTGGTTGGAGGCGCCACTGCGACACACGCGTGGAATCGATCTCCGCGCCCATGGCCCACCAAGCCTTCCATCCCTCCAGAGTCGGCAAATTGGTACTAGACTTGACTGGGAGGATAGCAGCACTGGCTCGATACATCGGTAGGCCACCATGAGTCATTGTAAAAACCAGACATGCATTCAATCACCTCCAACGATACTAAATGAAGTCGAAAGCATGGCGCATCCCTCAGGAATTGACCAACGTCGAAAGCTTTATCCTTTTTTAATTCACCCCATTACTAATACAAGACCATTAACACAGAGTCCTACATTTGTGAGAAATGTGCGTGGCTCAGTTCAAAAAATCGATTTGAGATATGGCGCGTGATCGCGCATGAGAACGAGGCATTCCTCCACGCGGTTCATTTTTGGATTTTTGGAGTCCCTCCAGAACGCTCCAAGTCTTTTTCTCACCGAAGCTCTAGATTACTGTGCGAGGACTATGACTTCAACTATATTTCGAAACGTTCCCCATTATGTCTCTTTGTCCAAGCCGCACTTCGTGGAGTACTTGCTTTAAATTTAAATTCATCAACTTGTGTTCTTTTTTACGGATAAAGAGTGGTCTAACCGTCCGGCAATTTAGTCATCCCTATACATTTTAAAGGAGATTAGGTGCAGCGTACTAGAAGTCATCTAATCACCATCTCTACCGTTAGGGCATATTGTGCAAGTTTGGGTTGTCCACAGACGGTTAGGCAAACGTTTACGAACTAGCTGACCCCTGAGAGTCTTCGGTGGCATTTCAATCAATGCTACCAAATTCTCCAGATCGAAATTTCTTGAGCAACGTTTTGTAGCTGTACCTATTTCGTTAGAAGGAAAGGGCAAGATAAATGAGACCTTATCTTTGCTGGAATTATCGTCTGAGTACCTCATTTTCCCTCCAAACCAATCCCGAGTAGCTACCACTTCGAAGCCGTGGAAAATGGCTATTTTCCGCGCAGACTTCAAAGATTCCACCTTGTATTCTCTTCCTGTGCACATTGACCGCTCTAGGCAACAAATTTCTCACAAGTGTCCCTTTAGTGTGTGAAGCCTCAAGCCTACAACTCTGGTGAAAATAAGGTTCCGCTTATCCTGTCCTTTATTTCAAACCAAACACGTATAGCTTTAAAACGTTCAAAAAGGGGTGGTTTAGTTAAATCGGTGGCAGTGATTGAAATCCCACCGAACAATCTAAGACACCAGGTAGTTCGTAAGGATTTTTATGACCGTCTATCCGAAATACGCAATTGCACATTATGCCCTAACGGTAGAGATGGTGATTGAGTAAATTCGAGCACGGTTCACCTAATCTCTAGTAAAGCCTATGAGGACGAATAAATCGAAGAATGAGTAGACCGCTCCGTATCCGTATAAAAGAACATTAGTTGATGAATTGAAATTCAAACGAAATACTCCACTAGGCGCGCTTAAGACACAGAGACATAACGGGAAAGACTTTGAAATAGAAGTCGTAGTCCTCGCACACTAATCTATAACTTCGATGAGAAAAGGTCTTGAAGAGTTCTGGATGGACTACAAAATTCCAAAAATGAAGCGCAAAGGTGCCTTGTGATCACGTGTGATCTCGGGCCATGTCTCAAATCGATTTCCTGATCTGAGCGACGTACATTTTTCAGCCAAGTGAGATTGTGAAGCTGATCTCTAAAAATAATTGGAGGACTTAAGAACAAAAAACCAGTAAGTGTATAACAGAAGCTGTTCACTATGCGAATAAGCGTCTATGCGTTAAATTTTGTCTGCTGAGACTATGATAGTGTTTGACTAAGCTGACTGCGTGTCAATTGAACTCTTCCAGACTCTGAAGAAAGAGAAACTGCCGAAACGTCAGCCAATACTGTACCGGATAAATCCTGATGTTAACATCCTCGCGTTTACTCATCAAGAAAAGAGTGTATTATTGTCGTCAGTGATAATTCCACATCTGTTTTCAACACAAGAAAGTCCACCAAGTAGGAACAAAACTCTAGATGGCTTATCGATCGCCTCATCGTGACTGGAATGTGTTCCTGAATGTCGATATGTGATAACGTGTAGCGATTCCTCATTCTTAAGGTAGTTTTACCTCCGTTGGGAAAGGATTTCAAACACCTTAATCCAGAATCTCTAGTAAGGATAAACCTACGCTGTCGTACCAGCCACGTATGTCTTACGTGGCTAACTCACCTCTAAAGCAAGCAAAAATACTTTATGGGATAAGATCTCTGGTGTCGAACAAGTGTATCCTAAAGAGCACTAGTGTTTCGCCTGATTAGGATGAATGAAATTGTGTATTGGCGCTTCTTCTCTGTTGTTAACGCATTGCAGCTGATACAAGCGACAATGCAACACCAAGCTAAGAATGTTTTAACTTTCATTTTCTGCCCGAAGTCTTTTCACGGCAGACCATCGCGTGAAATACAACCATAGGAACACTAAGATGTGAGCACGTGCTATCCACAACACTCATCGAAGCCCTTGTTTTGCCTTTCTCTCAGCCAGATTTTTAGCTAAACTGAAGCTGCAGTCGAAATCACAATGTACCTATTTTTTATTTACCTTGTACAATGCCGATTTGTGCTCTATATCTCATTCTCGTTGACGAATGATCGATAAGCGACGGCTGGTAGCACCATTCAAGCAAAAAGTGGCTAACAGGAAAGGAAAACAGGGACTAGCACGTGAGCACCAGGAAAGGGTAATCGCGGGTTTAAAGCCCAGCAGAGGTTCCGAGTTTTGCTCACCTCTCAGCCCCTTTGAGGTTGTACTCAACTATTGTTTACATAGCTTTCTGCTGCTTTGTTAAATAAATACGATTTGGATACTATGGTAAACTGACTGTAGGCAGGCTGCAGCTTTCCGGTACCGTTAACAAAGAATTCTATGTGAAGTGGGTAGCGAACGAACTTGATAGAACTGAAAGTCGGTGACATCAGCGTCGGATAGTCGATGGTGTTCAGTAGCGTTGAAGAGAACGGTGTTGCCCATACAACTATTGGGAAGTTGAGAGATTTGGCGACGATACCAGATATAATGGCAGCTACAAAATAATCATCTCTCATTAATACTATGCAACCAAATTTACTACATTTGAAAAACAACTGGAAAAAAAACGGCCTACGAAGTGTAGTACGTTTATGAAACGATTTTTTTCTCCGAGTTCAATCAAAATAAAAGAAATATGTGTGATCTGAACCACAACGATGGTGAGGTATTCGCAAAGATTGAACGCCGGGCCAGATCAAGCCACCATTACACTTTCCGGGGGCATGCGCCCAGGGTCCAAGTTTTGCGAATATCTCAGCATCGCCGTGGTTGATTTCGCATAAAACCCTGCCGTAAAAATTGTAGTAGTAGGCAATAAATAAAAAAGTAAACATATATGTGAACTTATAAAATTACACGAAAGAACTGATCAATGTGATCAGAGCGAAACACAAGAAATGTTGAACAGCAAAAGTAATGGCATTTGTAAATTAAGCTTTTCTTCGCCTGAGAGTTTTTGTCCGATTAGGTAATGATGTTTCATCCACGTTAGTTTAGTACGCCAAAGTCGAAAATTATAAAGAAGACATACGAAAACGTTGAAAGACAGGCATTATGCTTCCATGTGAATTCTGTGCGGTTGGTCTTCACGCGACATACTCAGTGGAGGCCTCATAGAAAGCGGTGAGTGTGTAAAGCTGTGTTCAATGTGATTGGAAATCTTGGTTTAGCGTTTTCTCTGTTTGGTTATGGAGGTGTTTGGCCGAATAGATTGCTATCAACTTGACCTTTCCAGGCTCTCAGGAAGGCGAAATCTGCCGAAACGTCAGTTTATTCGTGAATAAAGAATAAAAGTAACACCTCGCGTTTGCTCAACAAGAATACGAAGAATTAATCACGTACTTTTAAAGTGGCATAGAATAGCTCAGAGTAAGTCTTATTGACCAGAATACAACAGAATAGAATCTCCAAGTTTCTACTAGCTAGAGAGAAGTATCTTTACACCATAATGTCCTGGACTACCGTAGACGATGATGTCGTTGAACGCACTCTCGGTATTGGTTTCGTTTCTCAACCACTTCAAGTACAAGAGATGTCTAAGGGAGTGATAATCGGTGGCTTAGAGATCCGGCGATTATGGTGAATGAGACAGCGTTTCGTAACTCAATACGTCCGGCTTGTCTACTACAATGGGTGGTGGCGCTTCATCTACAGGAAAGACCAGTTCCTTTCTGTTGACCAATGAGGAGCGAAGCCATTGAAATTTCTGATGCATTTAATCGACCCGCTAAACGTATACAACGACGTAGTCTTTTCATCTGAATCCAGGAGACTATGGTGGCTGAAATCACTTGTAAACCAGCAAACACCAAACTCTTGTCCAGCTTTTTCGACCTTCTAGTGTTCTTGGAAATTATAGGCTCCGAAACAGTTGAGATGCTGTACTGAACCCTGCCGTAAATCTTCGAAGAGTTGTGCATGTATTTGCTTATACAGAAGCCTTCAACTAACCATTTCCAATTGAAGAAGGACGTCCGCAACGTCACTTGCCCTCAAGGTTGAATTTGCGACAACGAAAATTCTTAAACCAGCATTGCACTCTCCACTCATTAACACATACTCAACCCAGTACCTCAATGAGTAGTTTGTACTGTGAACGTTCGAGTTTGAATCGTATAGGAAGGTTTAAACACAGAGAACGACACGAAGGACGAATTAGAGACAAGAAAGAGCGCCGCATGGGTGCATTTGCTCTTCTCTATGAAGCCATAGACCAACTAACAGACCTAAAACTCCGTGCTCACCTTTTCGGTTTAACAGTCCTCCCAGCGCTCTGTTATGCATGAGAAAATTGTTCTGATATTTCAACCACGACAAGAAATCTGCGCACCACACACAAAGCGTTTAACCAATGTGTTCCAAAATTTAACCGGCACTAACAACGTTTAGATCGCGTACGCAGCTCAAATCTTCGGAACCTACCTTATCACTGGGATCCAGTTGAGTATACAATGATAGCGAAAAACAGATGGGCTGGTCATATAATAAAAAGAACAGATGATATTGGACGGGAATACTAGTGAAGTGGAATCGAAGAGTATGTAAACGTCTCCTTGGAAGACCAGACGACCGATGGACAGACATGTTCGTGGCTAATATCAACCGTATGCATTCATAGAAGGAAACGATTTCAGGAAATCGGAATAGCCTTCGTGGACGTCACGATGTTCGAAGCAGAGCATCATCATGGACGACGATTTCGCGAGAGCAAAACGAATAGAAATTATGCTGGAGCGCGCGCCACCAGTGAAAGCGGGCCATCCAAGTGTTCAAGTAAGTAAGTGAAATATGCCAGAATTTCCCATATGACACAATGGAATTACATATCCCACATTAATTTATGAAAAAATAAACAGCTCTGAGGTGCATTTCTGCAACTCCCGTAGTACTGAAGTTGTTCGTGCGACATGGCATCAAATATATTTGGTATTTGAAATTACATACATAGGATAGCTCTCGAAATCGTATAATGTAGGTATCAGCTGTACATACTACTTTTCCGAATAACTACTTACATGGCGAACATCCTGGTCCCAGAACAACATCGACACCTGACTCCTCCCACTCGATAATCGAACCAGCGTCTTGTGATTTTTTACAATCGCTCAGCACCCATGTCAAGCTGAATGTGTTTTCGATTATACATCGCTCTTATTATGACGCTTACATAATCTTATTTTAAACAAAACGACAAGTAAAAAACATCTTTAGGCTGAATGCATCGAACTTAGTTAGTGAGTAAATGTTTGTATGATATCTATTTTCGTGAGCCTAAATTGCATCACCATGTAGCGATAAGGAATCGCTTCCCTCGTCGCTCGTTTCTAACTACTTAGGTTTGGAGCCATGGACATCATGGAGACGTTTCAATCTGGAGACGCATACCTGGATGAGCCGGAGACATCCTTTCCATCAACTATGAATGACGCGTCCAAGACGAATTTGCTTCCAAAAATCGTAATTTTGAAGTTTAATTAGTGACATCTTCTTTGACAAAGGCTGATCAAGTCAACTGGCATTTGTTCAACGAGGCTAATTCTTGGGGCTGTAGGCACAATATTATTAGAAAAACAAAGATGATGCAGCTACCGATAATTGATTTTCAATCTCAAGTTAACCCTTCCCTGTGTCTTCACGACTTCCTTGACAGTGAGGTTTAACAATTTTAGCGTGATATTATCGGTATGTTAAACTTCTCATTTTAAGCTGATGAAAGAGCCCTTGTAGAAGGCAGAATCTACTGTAAATGCGACAAAGCAGCTCTTGCACACTGGAGATACTTCAGTGAAACTCGCTGCGTACAAAATTACCCATCGTAGGCCAACTATTCTGAAAGCGCTGTTTGTTCATATAACTATTCTCCGTTCAGCGTTTGCCAATCCTTTTGAGGTTAACTCCAGTAAGGAGTTTGTAAGAGACAAATGTTATGCTTGGGATTTTTTTGATCGCTTCCGTGTCGTAGAGGTCTCCTTTTTGGTTTGCAAACGATTGAAGACCTTGTATCTTAATAGGTAAAGTACAAAATGTTGGAATACTACCTTCACGAGCAATAACCATAGGTTCCCTGCATATTTGAGAGACCAGTAGTGAGTTCTACTGATGCTGGGGCTCAGTCCTTTCTGAATCGGTACTGCACGGCTCTTCCTTAGAACGACAACACGTTAGCCTTTGCAATCGAACCCCTATATATGTCACATCCGTCCAACCAGATATGCTTGTTGTTCTCCAGTTCAAAATGGTTTTTGGTGTTCGATTCCCGAATTCTTCAGTTTTTCCTCCTTTCTTTGACATATATAACATGAACATTCGCAATCAAATAGAAATTTGGAAGTGAAAGTAATTAGGCAGAACATTCGATTAACCGCGAAGTTTTTTACCGTTCATTTTACTACGGTATTCTGCATTCCCATGTCCAACATGAAGGGCGTGTGTGGCGCAGTGGTCGGAGGCGCCCTGCAACATACAAGTGGAATTGATCCCCGCGCCCATGGCCCACCGTGCCTTCCATCCCCCCCGGGGTCGACAAATTGGTACTGGACATGTCGGGGAGGATAGCAGCACTGGCTGGACACACGCGGTAGGCCACCGCGAGTCATTGTGAAGGTCAGATATGCATTCAATCACTTCCAAACGATGTTTAATGAAGTCCAATGCATTGCGCACTCCTCACGCATTGATCAACGCCGAAAGCTTTATCTTTTATCCTTTATGTCCAAAACACAGCACGCTTTGATAACTATGGGCAATCATGAAATGCCCTTCGTAGTTCTAACAATTACCGACATGTGGGTTCCGATGCAACATTTTTAAGATATGTATTATTTCTTGATAAGCTTGCACGAGGTTGATAAATATATTTATTTTCGGCTAACGTTTCGACGTCTTCGTCTTCCTCAGAGCCGGTGATCCGAGTCGATGGTCCATGCTTGTTGTTCGCCTCGACGTTGCGTCTTCGCCTTCCTGTCGAGCCAGATCTTCCTCAGCGAGCCATCTTCTCGAATGAGGCATCCTCACTCAGTGATGCCCTTTTATACACGATGCTGATGGTAGATATATAATGACAATGTCCGGTGGTAACAACTTGTATTTCTTCCGGACATACATCATTGCGCACATCGTGCAGAGGTCGGTGTGTTATCAGCTAGCACAAAGCGTAGTAATATTTCGAAACCGACCTTCCCTAAACCTCGGTGTGACAAATCAATATGTATTATTTCTTGATAAGCTTGCACGAGGTTGATAAATATATTTATTTTCGGCTAACGTTTCGACGTCTTCGTCTTCCTCAGAGCCGGTGATCCGAGTCGATGGTCCATGCTTGTTGTTCGCCTCGACGTTGCGTCTTCGCCTTCCTGTCGAGCCAGATCTTCCTCAGCGAGCCATCTTCTCGAATGAGGCATCCTCACTCAGTGATGCCCTTTTATACACGATGCTGATGGTAGATATATAATGACAATGTCCGGTGGTAACAACTTGTATTTCTTCCGGACATACATCATTGCGCACATCGTGCAGA